TCATAATCAAAAGAGGAGAAGAAAAGGGAGGATCTCTATTTTCACTACAAACTTACATTCCCAAAGTTCCCTGTCCCTCACAGAAAATGCAATATCATATATAGACATAGAAAGAGCGATATATATAACTTTAATAATCAAGTATCAACATAATTACTATAAAAATTTTCATGACAAAAAAATAATAATTCAGAGGATCTCTCTTTTCTTGAACTTCCGTCGTGTTGCTTTTCTTTTTCTCTCTCTCCTTTACGGCATAAAGAGCTTGTCGCCGCATTTGCACCGCCAGGCCTCCGGGTAGTACTCCTGCAGCGTGCTAAAACCGGGTTGAATCGGCACGTGAACCGGGTTACAAGGACAGCACCTACCGCACTTGGATCTGCACGAGGGTGGTGAAGAACCCGGCCCCCCCAGCTTCCTATCAGTCAGGACTCTCTTCAACCAGGTCGACCCACCTCCTGTCTCACTCTCTTCCTTCTGCTGGAACCTAGTATCTGCAAAAAGAGGCTACAGAGTGAAGACAACGAAAGTTAAGAATTGTACTGAATGAGGGGAGTTGTATGTGCATACCGAGTTGGGAGAGGGTAATAGAGGAGGCGGAGGCCAAGCCAAAGAAGAGGCAAGTGAGGGCAATCAATGTCGATAGACGGTGGCGCACTACGCCCATAGCCAAGCTGGAGGCGCGCACGTTAGCAGAGTTTATGTGTAGTATGTTTATAGGGAAGGAGTAATAAAAGGAAAAGATGGAGAGGTAGGGAGGAAGTGTATTATTGTTGCAGGGGGTGAGGAAGAGTCTCAAGTCAAAAGAGACATAGAGGGAGGGAGGGAGGGAGGGAGGGAAGGAAGAGAAGAAAGAGAAAAAGAAGGAGCGAGGTTTTTGTTTTATTGTTTGGCCAAAGGAAGAGGGTGGGACCCACGAGGCCCTGAATGATTGTGATAGATAGAAAGAGGGAGCATTGGAGATATATGCTAAATTTACAAAATTGACATTTCATTATTACAAGTGGCACACCTTTTCCATTATATATATATATATACATACATACACATATGTATATTAATGAAATTCATTTATTTTCTTCTAAATAAATTAATATAAATATATATATATTTCTTAATTCAATGATTATTTTATTGTAGATGAAAGAAGTGATCTAAGAAATTAATTAATTTCATTTATCTGGGGAAGGAAAATTCAAAAGAAAATTTAGAATACATACTATACATGTGCTGTATTAAGTTTGGACCAATTAGAATACTGATTTTTGGTCACATATTAATTTCTATATCAATATACATATATAATAAATAATACCAAAACAATTTCAGGTAGTATTTTTTGTTTTTTTATTTATATATTAATATTTATTATATTATATATAATACAGAAATAAAATTTTAAATATTATCTACTTAAATCTAAAATATAAAAATATATTTTAGTTTTTACGATCACAAATCATACACTCTATAATATTTAAATATAAAAATAATTTTCATAGCATATACAATAATAATTTATTTAAATACAAAAAAAAAATTAATTTTTAATTAACTATAACTTATATGTTGTAAATAATTTTTAAACTTGTGTATAATACGGAATAAAAACCTACTATACATAAACATAAAACCAAAACTCAACACATTTTAATATCTCTTTTTTCTTTAAATAATTTTATATTTAATATATATAAATTTATTTTTAAATAGAAAAATAATTAATGTGATAATATTGGTAAGAGTTATATACTAATTCAATATAATAAATTTTGATATGATAGTATACAATAATTAATTATTTAGAGTATTTTAAATATAAAAATAAAATGTAATTACGATCATATTTTTATGTAATTATTTTTAATTGATTAGAATTATATTATTTAAATTATTATCACATATTCTTTTCTTATATTTAATTCATTCTGCAGATTTTTATCAAAATTGACACAAGGTATTTTTAAAATTATTAATTATAAATTAAATAAAAATAAAAGGATTAAAGAAAACTTATTCCTTTTATATATATATATATATATATTAGAAAAATTCAGGATTATACATTTGCATATATAACTTGATGTAAAGAAGGCAGATATTATTATGTTGAAAGGAGGCAGAAAAGAGAGGATGAGATTGAGAGAGAAGAGGGGTGAATGTAAAATTTCCAAAAGAGGAGGGTGTTCAGGAAGCTGGAAGCAGCACACGTGTGGGTGCATACGTGTGGGTTGGCTGTCTCGTACTGAACCAACATCTAACTCGACCCACCCATCGTCTACCACCACCACCATTATTGAACATGGTGGCCTGACCATCAGAGTATTCATTCAGCAGTACAAGTTTCAGTATTCCCTCATAAATTTAGGTGGGACCCACGCAGACAGTGGGCCACGATGGGCTGAACACTTGTGTGTGTGTGTGTGTGTATATATATATATGTATGTATGTTCTTTTGCTTTTTGACAAGTACCCAATTACTTTTGTACTGTCATTTCTTTTGTGGTAAAAAAAAACAAGAGATACTGAAATGATATTTGACTTCGGGCAAGTGCGAGCTTGAGGCTTTCAGCTGGCTTCCATGGGAATTTCCATACAAGTAATGGCTTCAGCCTCCTGTTCGACCAAGATTAAGGGGACCTCTCGGTTTTCTTCTTATAAGGCAAACCAACGAGGTTGTAAATTAATCATACAAATCATTCCGACCCATACTCTTTATCTAAAGTGACTGTAAATTTGCATTCAGAAATTCAACTGGGATAATTATTTTGAATATAAGAAATTACTAGAAGATATATAGCTGTTAGCTAAGGTGATATCTATTTAACTAAACCATACATGATACTATTTGATAGAAATTTGATTATGAGTTGTATACCAAAACTTCATATATAATGTCTGATTGTATGTCTAATGACAATGAACACATAAAAATAGTCACTAGCTTCTATTAGGCACACAACTAGACATTGTATAAAACCAACTACCTCCTTGGTTTGTAAAAATTAATACTTGACTTATAATATTTAATTTAGTGATATTAATGACTCAAAATTAAATTGATGTATTGATGAGAATGCAATTATAAAAGTAATTCTAATAAATCATGACATTTTAATAATCGAATAAAATAAATATTTTTTAAAACTACAGTGATGAAATTAAAATTAGTTATAATAAGTCATGATGTATTCAAACGAAAAAAACATTACATGCCAATTATATTCACTCAGTTGGTGATCAATTAAGGTAAATTTAAAAAATGTGTATTCAAATTAGCAAATTTCTCTTCTCGTAAACATTATTTATCAAGTCGTTAGTAAATACATTTATTATTAATTGATAACCACCTTCACCCATCAATTTTCTTTCAAATTTAACATCATCATTCGGCATCGATTATGAGAATGCAAACAAATATTTTAAATAAAAGAAGTTTCATTAGTCAATGGGATCATTTAAAAATTGAGAACAAAAAATTTACTTAAGGAGATAACTCCTTAGATAGTAGGATAAGGAATCAAATTCTCTAATAGGTAATATCTCTAATGGGAGTACAAAATATTTTTAGAGTAATAGAATAATGAAATAAGCCTATTATTATCTCTAAAGCACTAGCTAGTAGATTTGAGAGAGCTTCTTTATCACTTAATCAAGTTACATTATGTGAGCGTATAAGAAAGAATGAGCAACCTCTATACGTATGTAGTAAACATGTAAACAAGTCAAATAATTTGCAGAGGACGATGATATGCCTGCTTGTAGAATGGATGCAAGAAATAATGTATATCATGACTCAAAAGCATTGAAAAGACTATAGAGAAGAACTCAAAAGCAAATTTCATTGCAGTTCTAAATGAGACATGAAGTTTGTAAAATAAGAGACTTATATTAAAATCAAAACTTGTTTGGTGAAACTATATAAAATTATCCAAATATGACCTTTATGACCTCAAATATGATATAAATTTGTTTTTTACTCGTGAGCTAATAAATGAACCTATTTATATAAAATTTAAACTATTATAACTCAAACAATATGATAAAATAAAATATCCATTAAAATACTATAACTACAAATTAAACACTAATAAAATTTTATTAAACAATAAATTTATTATTTGCTAAAAAAATTTCCTCATCATTGACAAAAGGAGTAAAAAAACGACTCTATGTACTTGAATAAAAACTTTTCATATTTTCAAAGGCATAAAAGATTGTCTTTTTACATAATTCATTGATAATCAAATATCAAAAAGTTCAAGTGTTAGTCTCCTTAAAATAATAAAAAAATGAGTTATTTAAATTATAACATTCTATATAGATCTCTTAACAGTGAATAAATAAAATGAACGAGTAACTTTAACAACAACTACTAATAAGATAAAAAAATTAATTTATTGGTCGACATGTAGTATAACTTCATAAAACGAATCTCTTTATTTGAGTTTATCATATCTATTCTTCTAACAAACATGAACCATAAATCTTAGGGTAGTCATTATACTAACATTTAATGCAATTAAATACTTCACTGTGAAATAATATATTGCATAATACTCTATGTGATTGGTGATATTAATGTTTTAACTAATAAATCTTATAAATTATGTTTATGTCTCATTATTACAATATCATTATAATATGATTTTTTTCTTATAGTTTAATAAACATTTGTTGTTACGAGTTTGTGACAAAATAGTAAAAGATAATAATTTCTATTTTTTAATGAATATAATCATTATAACGTCTTTTAAGTAAATTATTATAATAATATCTCTTATATATATAATATTTTTTAAAAGAACAAAACTTAAGAATTTGTATTTTATTATTTATTAAAACATATAAATTAATTATTTTCTTATGTATTTTGATATCTAAAAATATTTTAACAAAATATACATAGAAAAAATGTAATAAAAAATAATTAATTTATATATATATATATATATTTTAGTAAAGAATGATGTAAAAAAAAAAAAAAAAGAAATATTGGCGGAAGACTTGTATTTATAACTATAACATTAGCAAAGTGGCTTAGGATTTACTTAGAAAATGGGAAGACATGTTGCTCTTATGGGTCCATAATTTATTAAAAGATCAAATGTGAAAATAATATTATGTTTATAGTTAAATTGTGGAATTGATTAATCAAGTAATTTTATTTATTTATGATTAATTAAACAATGTCTTTTAAAGAAAATTGCGGTAGAAAGTGGGCTTTGAGGGTGGGTTTGGTAAAGCCGAAAAGGGCCAAGCTAGCAGTTCTGTAGAGTGGGCCTCATAGGTCTGTGTAAGCATGAGGTTCAACAGTGACCCTACCACCCATCGCACCAGTAGGTTATTATTATTTTTGTTGTCTAATTACTGGTAGTAATATTTTAACGTTTAAGTAATTTGTTATGAATTGAATAATGACGATTTAAAATTTGATAATTATATGAAATACAGTTGACAAAATAATTACATTTAAATTAACGCAGCAGTTGACAATTTTGGGTCCCCTCTCTTGTTAGTTTAGCTCAATTATTATCTTCTCTTCTCTTCTCTTTTTATACTTTCTAATCGTTAGGTAAATACACTAATCCAATCCCATCAATTATGCCTAAACCTAATTATGATCTCATTAATTATAAACAAAATTAGAATTCTAATCAAAATTCCCACTCTATTTTCTTTTTTCAGAAAATAAAAAAATCAACAACAAACAAAGAGTTCAGAAAAAAAAAAAAAAAAAAAAAAAGACAATACGTCAGAGTTATTTAAATTAATTAAAAATAAGAAAAAATGCTGGAGGGATGCGCCTGGCTTTTAAACCCTTTCTTTTCTCACAAAACAGCTAAAGGGAGCATGTTGGTCAACTACAAAAAGTCTGTTTCAAACATTATATTATATATCTATTTCTCCAAAATTAAGAAAGTAGTTTATTGTGTTTAAATTTTAAAAATAATAATAAAATGAGTAAGATGAGGGCAAAAGATTTTGAAGCTGTTGCTTGTTGCGAAATGGGGAGCAAAAGAAAAGACAGTGGTATGAATTGGGGAAAAAAAAAAAAAACAAAAGAAACCTTAATCGCAGCAAGTAAAACTTAATTGTGCCTTAATTTTCGCGTTATAATGACATATTAGCAAAATGTCTATTCAATTAATCTTAATTAATTTGTTAATTAAACCAAAAGGTTAAAGTAAAATCAGAAATGAGGTGGTAATTTTAATACATAATTAGGCCATAATAAGCACGGACAATCCTCTTACGTGGCAGCCTAGGGTGCAGCGCAGCTCCTCAAATTAAAAACCTTACACCCTCAAACCCACACACACACACAAACACTCCCCTCTCTCCTCTCTTTTCCTCTCTCTTTCACTCTTCTCCTTCTCTCTCACTCAATCTCTGCCCTCGATTTTCCCTTTCCAAATCTGCCCTCCGAATCTCTTACTTTTTACCGGAAAGTGGAAAGCTTTGCCATTGCTGCTGCGTCGGGAACTCCGGTGAGCCTGTCGCCGGAATCTCACCCAAGATGGACGCCGGGGTGACGTCATTCAGGTCGATACTCGACAAACCCCTCAACCAACTCACCGAAGAAGACATTTCTCAGCTCACCCGTGAAGATTGCCGCAAATTCCTCAAAGAAAAAGGTTTCTTTTCCCCTCTTTTCTCTTTCGCTTATCATTTCCTTTTTCTAGCTTTCCATTTTTGTCCTCTCTCTTCTTCCATATTTTCCGGCACCTGCAACCCTGGAGACTCCAGTTAGTAAAGTGCGCTTACTACAATAATAATAATAATATGTAGTCTACCTCTAACCAGGGTGTGTTTTTTCTTTTTTTTTTTTTTTTATTAATTACTCCTTTGATTGCATTTATTTACTACTAAAAAATACTCTTGAAAATGGCGGCTCACCTGACACGTGTCGTCACAGGAATGCGTAGACCATCTTGGAACAAATCGCAGGCGATCCAGCAAGTTATTTCCCTTAAGGCTCTCCTCGAAACCACCGATGATTCCGGTGCCGGAGCTCTTCGTAAGATCCTCGTTTCTCCCCCAGAAACGACTCCTCGCGTGAGTACATACGTATATATACTATTTTCGTCTTTGTCTCTGTATATATGCAAACTTCCTTGTTTGGTTCTTGAGAAATCTCTGAAAAGTAAAGTTTCTATTCTGTCTCTCTCTTTTCTTTTTCTTTTTGGCACTTGTGCATTTGTTTTAGTTATTTCAGAGCTACTAATAAGTTTTAGGTTTTGGCATGACCACCTTAATAATGGTTTATGTAATTTTTTAGTTGTTAAAGATAATCAAAGTTGTATATGTAGGTAACTTCATCTCCAGTTGATTCAGTGAAGGAGTTGGGTGCTGGAGCCCAAATTTCCCCGCCTGCGGACGAGAATGGTCCTTACCGGCGAAAAAGTCCTCAGAAATCTGCAGAGTTGGGTTGCAGGCCAGTAGGTGAAGCAGATACCAAAACCTCATCTCCCAGGTTTGTTTCCTTACTCTCGTTTTGCTTTTATATGGCTAATTGCTAGGGTTAATAAGGAAGTGATTGATTAGTGGCAATGATGGAGGGGTTTATTTGAATCAGTATTTTGTTTTGGTATTTGGCACTATATTGTAATTCTGAAAATAACTACTCATATTTGCTGATGATTGGAAGGATATTGCTAAATGAAAATGCTAGGGAAGTTATTAGAAAATCATTTACGAGAGAATCGGTCCTGAAATGGTTATTAAAGGGTGCCATGATTGTTTCAAGTTTCTGAAATGACATCTTGGACTTTATGGCATCCTCTTCAAAGTATTTTGCTCCCTCTTCTAGTATAATTTTTTTTTTACTGATAGAAAATGGTAGCTCTTTAAAGGGGAAGAGTTATCAATATATATAATTTATCTTTATGTCAGGAAGGAATTGAAGGCTACTTGTTTATGGGACTCTAATCATATAAAATAAAATGACACATGCTCCTTAAGCTCATCTATGCTCCTCGGAGTGTATAGGAAAGTGGTCTTTATGGTAAAAGAAGAATGATCTGTGCCCTTTACTTCTTCTAGGGCAAAATCTACTCTCACATTACTTGCTAGTGTAGGCAGGAAATGAAATCTTCTGAGAGCAGATGCTTTCATTTTTTGCTGATGAGTTTTGGCAGAAGATGATGTAATACGCTCCAATTATGGGTGTCCACTGAGGATTGATGCCCATATTAAGCCATATGTCACAATAGATGTCCTCAATTTTGAAACACTGGACAAGAATTCACTTTCTTTGTCAGTTGAATCATATAAATGTGTTGGACTTTAGTGTGTTGTTTCTTTGCCTTAAAAGAGCTATGCTTAAGTATTACTGATTTACCTAAAAGATATTATGAGGGAAGATGGGGCATATTTCATCTGCGTTAGATGTACCCATTTTTCTACTGCTATGCAAGCATTAGACATAATATACTTGAAAACATGGCTTCAGAAGTCCAGGAGAAGCAAATGCGCTGGTTGGGCAGATGACCATTTTTTACTGTGGCAAGGTGAATGTGTATGATGGAGTGCCCCCTGATAAGGTAATACACATTTCTTTCTTTCAATTCCTCAAGATGACAGTACTAGCATTGCCTTCAAATGCATATGTGAAATGGGTTTGCAGGCACAAGCAATCATGCACCTTGCCGCAAGTCCGCTAGATTTCCCTCAAGATGACGCCATTGGTGGGAATACAGTACCTAGGTCCTTTCCGTGCCATTTGCAGATGAGTGACAAACACGCCTTTGTTCCTCCCAGTGCAGTTATCTCTCAGACAATGCAAACAGGTACAATTTTGGGCAGAAGCATCCACCTCTTACCCTAGAAAATTGCGAATTTAACATGTCACCTACAAAATTTTTGTTCTGACGATTATATAAACTGTACTAGGGATAGCTCTACAGCTATGGTTTATTGAACGAGAAGAAGATCCAGTGCATGGATCTAGAGGTCTTCATAGTTCACATTCTCCTATTTATGCTTATACAGTAGCAATTTTTTTGTTTGAAATACGGTCGTTAAATGATCCAATCTGAAAAAAATAGCATTCTTTATATCCTCTAGGTAGTTATTTTCTGAAATATACATCTAATATATAGCTCGCATTTCCTCTGTATCATATGATGAATTATGTCCACTGAATGCAGAATGGATGAGAACAGGTGTTATTTTGATCTTTCCCTGAATCTTTGTTTCCGAAGTAATATGTAAATTTTTATTTTTATTTTACATCCACTAATAGCGTTTGCTCAAGAGTGACATGACTTTCTTTTGCTGCTGGGATCAAGGCATTTCCAATAGTCTAACATAGTTAACAGTATTCACAATGTCAAAAGTTTCTCTCTGCAATTTGTTGCTTTTGAGATTTGTAATGGTTAGAAACCAGTTATGATTTGCATTTACAGAGAAGGTTCTGGAATACCCTCAGCAACACCGGGAGAAGGGAAATAACACTCGTGAGCCTGGTACAGTTTATATACCCTTTTCATTGAATAGACTAAATTATGCAATTCCTAAATGATAGTACAGGCACCCAGCTCTCTCAGGGAGTTACGGGTCATATTAATTGTTAGAATAACATAATGGTTGTTGTTGTTCCAATTACCTGGAAGTGACAATATTCCTTGGTATTTTATTTATAGAAACAAATACTCAAACTTCGGAAACTTTTATAAAGTATTGTAGGGTTCTCTTTTTTTTTTTTTGTTTATTGCATCAAAATATATTATTAAGGTCACTGTACCGGAACTCTATTACATCCCCTAAGGCTGAGGTATGCACTTGATTGTTACTTTAGATCCACCACAACCACATGGTACTGAATATAAAGATCTCTAGTGCTTGTATGGACATAAAATGGTTACTGCATGATGATAATCACAGTATCATACAGAATCTGAATCTGATGAATGCTGGAAATTGATCCTGCTTTCTTGTGAGTTCATTATTGGGGAAGCATTTAAATGTGTTCCCATACTTCTAAAGGAATAAAATAAGGCTTAAGTTACTACATCAAAGATCATTTAGGCAATACAGCTTTGTTTCAGACATAGATGGATTAAAAAAATGGGCCAAAAAAGAAAATAAGAAACATTTACTGTGAAGTAATTATCATCATGTGCTCAAATGCTGTACTTTCCCCTGTATTTCTAGTGCTTACAAGAGATAGCTTTATGCTTTTTCCATATCAAATATGGCATACAACTGCTAACCCCAGACAAGTGTCTTCATCATCACCACCAGTTAGCCATTCCAGTTTTGCAGTTACCAACTTTGAAATTAACTCCTCTGCCCTTTCAATGCTGAAGTTATGTGGGAAAATTCTAAAACTAGCAGGCTATTTTGCTTGCCATAGTGATATTTGTCAACCATGTCTAAATTTTACCTTTCTGAGAAATTAAGATGTGCCAGTTGATGTGACTGTAATTATGTATATATGTCCGATTAAATTGGAATATTTTTCCTTCAAGCAAAGTAGGAAGAATATTGTTTGTTCTTTCTTTTAACACTGGTTGGTTTTTCTTAAGATTTAGAAGGTCAAGCAAACAGAAAGGTGTTATTGCAGAGATACCTCGAAAAGCGGAAGGACAGGTATGAAAAGTGACTAATATATCATCTAATTGATGTTTAATTTCTTCCAAGCTGCTAAACTCATCCCATTTTTCTCCTTTTTAACTAAATTATAATCCTATCAGGGGGAGATTTTTTAAGGTTAAAAAGAGTACAGGAGTAACTTCCTCCGGGTTGGAGATGTATTTGAGTCATCAAGTGAGGCCAAATACCTCAACTGGACAATCAAGTGGGAGTGGCACAAACTCTCCACCCCAACCTGGATTGCCACACATCTCACATAGCTCAGCTGACAACCAGATAAAACATGGCAGCTTGTCTGTTGATCTTAACGACGAAGGTACAATGTAAAGTTCTTTCCTCGGTATGAGTCATGACTTTTTGTTTTTCAACCGACTGGTAAGAGATATACATGACAACTGGGATTTTTGTTTTATTTTGTCTGCCAGCATATACGTGTATATATCCTGTTCAATCTTGGTTTCTTTAAGAAAAATATTATTAAACTCTGGCTGCATGTATGCTTCTTCTATTGAACTTAGGTCTGGAATTATCACTTTGGCTTTTGATGTTGAGTATATCAAATAAAATGTTTATTTTCTATTTTTTTCTTGTGAAGATTATTTATATGAAGGATGTAAACTCTGCCCTCTAATTCCTACTGGTTGTCCTGTATATATATTAAATTTTTACTACTTTTCTGGGTGCTTTGCAGAAATCTAAAATAATGACTATCAAGATGCTTTAATGATCGAGTAGGGTACTGGAATTGACTAGAGAGCTTGCTGTTACAAACCATCCAAGTACGGAACTTAACAGAAGGATATAGAAGTTATGCCTTCCTGGTGAATTGATTGGGCTGCTCTATGACATATAAGCTCTGGTTGGGGATCCTTATGAGATAACTCACTTTCTGAGTGGTGTGAGTATTTGGCACTCACCAAATTTTGCAACTTTGTGTAGTGTAGTGCCATCCACGGGAATTTTTTGGTTCTGACATTAAGAGTTTTTGGCACGAGATAAAGAGGCGAATGGAGACATTTTCTACGTGTAACATGTAAATGTAGTATTGCCTTTAGCTATATGCTATTTTAGGTCATGATGGAAGCTGAAGCAGTTATGTTCTTGTGATGGGTTGAGAATATAACATGAGTTCTCCCCCTACATAACTTGAATGTGTTGCAGTATTGGGAACCAATGGATCTGATTTGGTGTTGGTTACCTAATTTACGAACAACAGAAGGATGGTAAGATGATAATTAATGAAAATAATAGGAACCATTAATTGCTTATTTTTTATTCATGATTAAAAATCAACATAAATTGGTGATCCCATAATTATTGACTTATTTGCAAACCCAGATTGATGGGTATTTTCAATGCCAGCATTGTAGGGTACATAGTTTTTATCTTCTTTCTCTCTTTTTGGTAGAGGAATAACAGAGGCTACTTATTCATATATGCTATGGTCAGTGCATAAGAAGTTCTGTTTTTGATCAAGTTTGAATATTTATTAATTAGATAATATATATACACTAAATATAATATAATTAAAATAATGGAGAAAACAGATAACAATGGTGAATGGTTTTAGAACTATTTTTTTTATTAATTAAAAGCAAAAAAATCCATTCAAAGGAGGAGGAAAAATACAAGTAGGAAAATAGAGGGCTTGTAGGTAAGTGGACTTGCTCGTTGGGAAGACGCCGCCAAGCGTGATATTATACCGCTGAAGGGCCAGACACCACAGAATAACTGGAGGAAATCTAATCGTCCACGCGGCAATCGGTAACCAATAACCAAATCGAGCTTCGTTTATAGTCTTTGCCATTTTTTGTGTGTGTGTGTGTGTATATATATAACCCCGAAGGTGAGTAGAGCCATGTTTACAGTATCGAGAAGGGATTAGAACTTTAAAAGCCCATGGCTATCGAGGTGAGTTCTTCAACCTTTTTATGATTCGTTAATTAATTTGTTGTGACTTTTGAAAAATAAATTATTTGCTGAAGATTTGAATTGAATTTCAAAGCAGGCATGGTTTATGGATGAGAGCAATGAAGACCAAAGGCTCCCTCACCACCGCCACCCGAAAGAGTTCGTCTCCTTGGACCACCTCGCTGGTTCTCTCTCTCTCTCTCTCTCTCTCTCTCTCTCTCTCTCTCTCTCCGTATATCATATGTATGTGTATAAATAAACGCGCGTGTATATATGTCTTTTGAAGTGTTGAGTAACCAAGTAAATGCGTATGCAGAGCTAGGAGTGTTATACTGGCATTTGAATCCAGACAACTACGAAAACGATGAGGAATTGCGCAAGATCAGAGAAGCCAGGGGATACAATTACATGGTAATCAGATTTGTTTTCATATCCTTTCACTTTTTTTTTAGTACTTCTCACTTGCGCCTCTATATGTTCATTTTCTTGTACAAAAGTGAATCAACCGATTTTTAATCAAGACTGTAACGGGTACTATCAAATTAGCCGATGAATATAATGAATTTGTCATCCTCTTGGTATCAGGACTAATTTGGGACATGATTGAATTGTAACCATCTAGTTTATTTACGGTTTGCATTACAATCCATCAATGGGTGCGTTGCTTAACATGATATCACTAATTCCAGAGGGCTCACGGTTAGCTTAGCTATGTTGATCATTTCTCTCCCTCTAAATTGAGGGAGGAAGTTCATTGTACAGGTTCTATCCTGCTGAGTTGCTATCCAGAATCTCCAAGGCTGTGTCTGTAAAATCAACTTTGTTTGCATACTTCAGTTGAAAATCTTGTTTACTTCAATTAGGAGAAAATCTTGTTTATTTCAGTCAGTAGAAAGATGAAAATTTTATTTGGAAAAATAATGAAAACTGATATTATAGGAAATTTTAAGTGAAAGGATACATTTAATCAATTTTAAGTTCTATTTGAATTCTTTAGAATGCTAACTTTATCATTTGAAATAAAAATTTTATTGGTTAAATTAAGTATAGATCTATGCATGAACTTCACAAATGAAGTTCGTTTGTTTCATTAATAGCCTGAGGTGTTCTTTTGATCTTGGGACTGTATATCACTGGAACAAAAATCACAGACAGATTGAAAAAGAAAACAGTGCTTATTCATTTTCTTTCGTTCTTATAGATTGTTCTGAAATAATTAAAGCATCGACATTGGGGAGTACAAGGAGGAACTGCAGTGTCATTTCCTGTTCTGGCCTTTTCTTTGGGTTCTTTTTTTATTTTTCTTTTGGGTAAAGTACCTTTATATCTGGGGTAAAAAATGAAGGCTTAGTGTCATTATTCAAGGAAGACTTCATCTGCCTGTGGAAGAAAATGGTCAGATTGTAGAACAGAAATTGGAATTTACTTTTCTAGGGTTCATTAGCATAGAAAGGTGGGTGCAAATTTAGAGGATTGAGATTTTTCTCAAATTTACACTCTGTACATTTTTTGTTTTCTTTACCATTCCATACAAGAAAAACATCAATTATGAAGCTCCTGATGGTTGTGTGAATGTGTTGAAGGACTTGCTTGATTTATGTCCAGAGAAAGTTGCTAATTACGAAGAGAAGTTGAAGAACTTTTATACAGAGCACATACATGCAGATGAAGAAATACGCTACTGCTTGGAAGGAAGTGGATATTTTGATGTTCGAGACAAGAACGATCGTTGGATTCGGATAGGGTTGAAACCGGGTGATCTTATTGTTCTGCCTGCTGGGATCTACCACAGGTTTACTCTTGACACTAGCAACTATGTTAAGGTAAGGAAGCTCTAAGATATGACAAATTTTACTTGGTTTTAGTGCTGAGAAAGTGATGGGAGGAATGTTAAGATAGTTTCTATTTATCAACATGTGAATAATAAATAAGAAAATTTTCTATTAACTTGAACTTTCAGGATATTCATTCACAAGCTACTATTTGACATGGTATCATATTTATAAATCTAGCGTTCAAATTTTAGCTGTCATCTCACAATATTAATTGATTGTAATATAAAGTATCTGATCGGTGCATAACCAACCTAATAGACTTAAAAACGTGAGTAGAAACGATAATATAAATAATAAATGAATAATTTTCTAACAGTTTTAAGTTTTCGAGTTAGTAGGTCTTACAATATATTATTTGGTAACACTGTTGATTTATAATTATGGTTTCCAGCTGATGAGGTTGTTTGTGGGAGAACCAGTCTGGACTGCTTATAACCGGCCGCAAGAAAATCATCCAGCGAGGAAGCAGTACGTCAAGGGTGTAGCAGAGAAGTTCTCAGTGGCAGTTGAAGCTCACTAAGGCTATAAGAATCTTGTCAGTTTGTTAATTATGTATTTGGACATACTGATATGTATTATTACTCAGACAGAACTTAAATTTCTTACACGGCAGAAACTTTTTACCAATTTACAACAGAACAATATCAGTGAAGGTCTAGTAAGCATTCGCCTAGAATCTAATATTCGTGCCAGAGGATCTTCTAATACCTGAAATCTAAGAGTTAATTGGACGTGAATAAAACACTTATTCAGGAAGGTTTTGTATACAACCATTCATATACATATATATATATACTTATTGTGAGAAATTTCCTTTACCATTTGCTTTTCTCAGTTTAAAATCCATTATTATTTTTTGATCTATCTGAGTTATATATTTTTAAATTTTATTAAATTCACCCTTTAACTAAACAGTTGTTTATTAATTGTTAAATTTTAGAATATATAACTGATGACATGTTAAAATTATGATGAAAAAAATTTTATATGACATGAATGTCACTTGGCACCCATATTTAATATATATACATATATTTACTTTTAATTTTTAAAAATGAAAATTACCATTTCCTATTCTTTTTTCTCTCTCTCATCATCTTCCATTCTTTTTTTTTTTTCTCTACAATTCATCATAATTTTGAAAAAAATTATTTTCATTTTGCTCCTCTCTATAATCCTTCTTCTCTCTCTCTCTCTCTGCCCTAGGCAACAGAGTGGGCGAGCATTTTTGAGTTTGAATGAAGCATCAGGAGTAGCATGTAAGAGAGAGGATCGTTAATTTCATGAGATGAGTGATTGGGCGAGTCAACAAAGGATGGAAAAAGGAGGGTCATTGGGATTGTGGTCGTGGGAGGACAGGCGATGGTGGTGGCCCTAAATTGTGTGGTGGAAGATTTCGTCTTCTGTTTCGTGGGGATTCATGGAGAAATGAATTTTACTTTGTAATTTTAATTTTAATTTCGAAAATTATGATGAATTGTAGAAGAAAATAGGATGATAATTATGATGTGCGTGTGAGCAGGCAATGTAAATTTTTATTCTAAAAACCCAAAATAACTTGTTAAGCTTTTTTTACTGGTAAGTCCCTGTTTTTTTCTTCTTTTTTTTTTTTTTTTAAATTATTTAAGTTTGATATTTCAAATTTTTATAGAATTCACCGTGAAGAGTTGGGAATCACTAAATCTAAAAAAAACACTTAATCGATAAGGTGTTACATTTGCAAATGAAGTGACAACTGCATCAAATTAGAAAACTTAAAACTTTCCTCTGACTTCCCCGAATTCTCTCTTTTTTTTTTTCTTCTTCTTCTTCTTCTTCTTCTTTTTTCTTTTCTTCCTTCAAGTACCCCTTTTGTCTTAATTTCAAAAAAAATGCAAACATTCTTAATTTGAAATTATAAAAAATTTGTTTGAGAATAAAGAAGGAGATGACATTCAAATTAAAAGTTTTGGTTCTCTGAAATTAAGGTCCAAAAGAAGAAGAAAATAGATGCCAAGAAAAATGATTTGAAGAAATTTTGAATTTTTTTAATTTGACGTGGTTATATGTGTCAGATCATCTACTAACGTATTTTAGATTGGTTTATATATGTAATTAAACTCATATTAGAGCTAATATGGTATTTTTATCTTTTAAAAATTAAAATTATATATAATATTCCACGTGGAAACATTGCTGCCATCTCCAATTACCGATTTACCCCTCATTAAACTTGACTTTTGACATTATTCATTTATTGGAAAATTCAATTTAAATTTGATTTCTTTTCATTTTTATGAATCATTTTTCCATTAAAAAATAAAAAATAAAATTCTAAAGTTATTCTGCATGGTTTGTTGTAGACTTTATTAATTTTAAATGATAAAATAAGTTCAAAGTACTTTTCTACTATTCAATTTTTTTTTTTATTTTAATACTATTTTTTAAAATTTTTATTAAATACATATTTAATACTAACTGTAATATAAAAATTATTAAACTTAAAATATATAATCAATGACATGTTAAAATTAAAATATGAGAATAATAATATAATATATGATATGATAATTATATCAGACTAAAATATTTAAAATTTTATCAGAGCATTCGAATTTTTTTTTCTCCTTCAAATCATTCTTTTTATTTGAATCTTTATTTAGAAGGCAGAATTTTTAATTTAACATTATTAAAAAATTATCTAAAATTAGTTTGAGACTCAGAATTAAACACGTTATTAATTAGATATTATAATTTTAACTTATTATCAATCAAGTGCAATAGATTTAATAATCTATAAATAATAATTATTGATAAAGGTAATTTTAGTAAAATCTTAAAAATATAAAATTAAAAATAAGGCAAGAAAAGTATATATAAAGACTACGGATAGAAAAAATTTTGTGATAGCAGTCTAACCGGGAGTTGGTAATCCGTTACCGTTACCGTTTGCCTATAAAAAAAACAAAATCCTTCCCCGTGGTCCCCATCGAAAACATCTGAAGGAGCCGTGTTCTTTATACATCCATCTTTACCACTCCTCCGCGTGATCCCATACGACGCTTCTAGACAAGAATTTCTTTCGGGAAAACTAAAAGCAAACAGCCATGGGTGCATCGGACAAGGTACTCTTCAAGCTATCTTCGAAATGATAATTGTCCGCAAACTTTCCTGGATTGTTATTTTCCTCTGAGAAATTCCTTTCGTCATTTTCTTTTTGAATTTACTGCTTTAATCTAGTGTTTATTCAACCTGAACAGAGGATATGTAGAACGAAACGAGGTTTAGTTTAGCTTAACGCCGATACTTGTAGTTTATGGGTATGATCGTTTTTTTTATTTTTTATTTATGAGGAATTACTTCTATAATGCATATATATGTGTCTGTGTGCGTATATTTTCATTTTTGCTTTGGTGAAAAGTGTATAATTTGATTTTACTCTATTTGTGCTATTTTTATTTTTCAAATAAAATCCTATTGTAAATTAGTCCATGAATTGATAACTTTGCTTTTAAGTGATATTTCTTCTCCAATATTGTTTTGATTTAAGCTTCTTGCTTTCTTTTGTTTTTGGTTTTGCTGTTCTATAGTTTGTATTCTACGGTTTTCATTTAATTTATATGTTGATCTGGGGTATTTAAATGATGTTAAGATCACTTTTGGCTTAGTGTGTGGACCGGTTTTGGTATGCGGATTAATTGTATGGCTCATAATTATCTTATAAACTGTAGTATACAACATTATTTTAAATATGTTCTGTCCTCTTGAATGATACCATGGGTATACCTCTTGACTTGTTTTGGTTACCAGGGCAGTGAACATTGATGATCATGAATATTTTTTAAAAAGGCTTTTTTAATTGCACGAATGAAGCCTGGTTTTAAGTTTCTCTGTAAAGGGTGTGTAATCTCTGCCAATTAGCTAATCTGTCTGAATAACTAAACAGAATTTTGAGGGTCGGAGGTTGAACACTTGGTAAGATCCTTCAGTTGTCTATTTTTAATTTCTTTTTAATATCTTTCTGTAGTGTGATTGAACACCTAATCAACTTGCGCCCATTGATATTCATGTAGCTGTTGTCTTACTTTGGTTCGGATAGGCATGCATGGAAGACATAGCTTCTGTGGCTCTTATCTTATTTGCATGAAACAACACAAAAGGAATCTAAGTATCAGAGGTCCTTCTTGATTGTAGGTCCCTCACGGATAGATTTTGATGTTTTGTCTTTTTATGTAGACAATGTCTGAACGCCTAATCACTTCACAGATTCTATTGATATATATTTAGTTCTTCTCTCATTTTGGACAAGGGTAAACATGCATGAAGTACAGAGTATTGTTGGTGGGAAGTGTGAAAAGCTCTTGGAATTTGTTTACACAAGGATAGACATGTATGAAGCATAGACCAGTGTTGGTGAGAAGTGTTGCTGTGGGTTATGGATTGTACAAAATGAACAGATTTTGTGGAATTTATTTGGAAATTCACACTTAATTCAACTAGAAGATAAAAATTCTACCGGAAGATGATAGCAATCCTAATGAATTGTTTGTTCCATAGAAGGAAACAAAAAGTATGTGGAATGATGGGTTCTTTCTATTTGATGATTTCACAGGATCCCAGAGAGGAGGTTATTCAAGCATGGTATATGGATGACAGTGATGAGGACCAGAGATTTCCTCATCACAGAGAGCCAAAACAATTTGTATCACTGGACCAACTTGCTAGTAAGCATCTCCTACGCATTTATTTTGATAATGTTTTCTAGTTTCATGTTTATAACTTATTACTATCAATTACTTTGGCCTTTTAGAGCTTGGAGTACTCAGCTGGCGGTTGGATGCGGATAACTATGAAACTGATGAGGAATTGAAGAAGATCCGCGAAACTCGTGGTTACTCCTACATGGTTGGTTACACAAATTTATAATGTTCTTGGATAAATCCATCAACTAATCTGAACTATCAGGACATGTGACTCTGTGTGCTCGTATAATAGTCTCAAAATGATAACAAGTGGACAGTTGGGCCCTTTTGAATTTTTTTCAAATTGTAAAATTTTAAACAAAATCTTCAGTAATTTCAAACAAGATATCTGTAACTGTCGCAACTTCTTTAATTAAGCCTTTCCATGCATTTTTTTTAACAAGTTAGATTAAAAAACCCTTCCACAGGACTTCTGCCAGGTTTGCCCAAAAAAACTGCCCAATTATGAAGAAAAAATAAAAAATTTTTTTGAAAAACATCTTCACACTGATGAAGAAATCCGCTATTGGGTTGCAGGAAGTGGTACGAATAATATTCTCTTTTCCATTCTGCAGCCATCACATACCTGGCAATTCATAAGCTAATGCTTTTACTGGTGAAGGTTATTTTGATGTTAGAGATGATAATGACGCTTGGATTCGTGTGTGGGTAAAGAAAGGAGGAATGATTGTCTTGCCTGCTGGAATCTATCACCGCTTTACATTGGATGCAGACACTACATCAAGGTATTCTAACTATGTTCTTCGTACAATCACTTGAATTTAAATTTGACAGTTTGTCTTGATCACTCAGTGATAAAGTATTTCGATAGCACTGTGTATGATGAAGCAAAGCATTTGATGACTATATGCCCTATCACATT